ATTTATTTAGGCTGTGTTGGGTCTTCTTTTCTGTGCGAGGGCTTTCCCTAGTTGCGGCAAGCGGGGGCCACTCTTCATCGCGGTGTGCGGGCCTCTATATTATCGCGGCCTCTCTTGTTGCAGAGCACAGGCTCCGGACGCGCAGGCTCAGTGGCCATGGCTCACGGGCCTAGTTGCTCCGCGGCATGTGGGATCGCCCCGGACCGGGGCACGAACTCGTGTCCCCTGCATTGTTAGGCGGACTCTCAACCACTGCGCCACCAGGGAAGCCCCCCTCTCCTCTCTTAATAGGTCTTTTCTCTCCCATAGGGCAGAGCCTTTTGTAGCGGTGTTTTCAATCTTGGGTCCCACATCATAAAGTCCAGGTGACATTTATGAGGTTCTAATCCCTGTTCTGTAATCTCAACTCACTTTGTTTATTACTCTTGCTTTGCCAACAGTCAAAGTTTTTCTTTGGGGGCTTCCCTGGTGGCGCAGTGGTTGAGAGTCCGCCTGCCGATGCAGGGGACACGGGGGTCCGGGAAGATCCCACGCTCCGCGGAGCGGCTGGGCCCGTGAGCCACGGCCGCTGAGCCTCGCGTCCGGAGCCTGTGCTCCGCAATGGGAGAGGCCACAACAGTGAGAGGCCCGCGTACCGCGAAAAAAAAAAAAAAAGTTTTTGTTTGTTTGTTTGATGGTTCTTTTCTATGTGAAACTAACTACTGGGCACTTCCCATAATCATAGTCTTCCCCACCCCATCCTACCTGTTAAACTTGTTCACAACTTTACTTAGCTGTTTCTCTCCCGCTTCCTTCATGCTCAGTTTAATACTGTCCTGGCACACTGACACATAGCAGGTGGGAACACCACCTCCACATCCGTCAAAATGTCAAGTGCGTTATACCCTTTGACCCTTCAATTCCACTTCAATATCCTCACACATTTACAAATTTATTCACAATAGCGTTATTTGTAAGGGCAAACACTTGGAAACAACATAAATGTCCACCCAAGAGAGAACTGGTTAAATAAATGAGGGCGTAGTCAGAGCGGAAAATAATATGTAAACAAACATGAGAAAGTTTTTTTTAATGTACTTGATATGAAACAAGCTCTGTGACTGCTCAATTAAAAAAAGAAAGGTCTAGAATAATGTGTATCTGTGCAAATATGAGGGAAAGAATTTATCCATATAAATTTGCTTGTCCATGCATAAGATAACTCTGAAGGATACAAAAGAAACTGACAACATTGGTGTCTGACTGCTGGCTGGGAAAGGAGAGGTTTTGCTGCATATACCTTTTTGAACTCTTAATTTCTGAATTGTTGGAGTATATTTCCTATACAAACAAAAATGAGTAAACAAAATAAAAACAATAATAAAACTCTCCTAAGTCAGGCCAGCTCTTCTCTGAGCAAACACAATCTTCCAAGCCTTTGCTCTGTACTCCAGGTTCATCATTCCCATTGCAACAGTTCAGAAATCAGAATCCCTCCCCCTTCCAAGGTCCCACCCATAGGAAGAAAGGAAGCAGGACACCTGTGCTGTAAGACATTCCATTTTCTGCCAGGAAATCCTAGAGGTCGTTTCCAGTTCTCTTCAGGCTTATGTATATCCCTGATCAATTGGGTTGACTTCATTTCCAAGCACATGCTGGATCCCTGTTCCCAAGGCTGCTCTGCTACTACACGCAGAACCCTTTGGATCTCACAAAGGGATCCTGCTGCAGGCCTCCCTGCATCCCCAGTGCTTAGGGAAGCCACATGCCCTTCTCCAGGGAAGATCTCTCCAAGGGACATGCCTTTGATAGGTGGGCCACCCCGAGGTTTTCCTTTGCCTCTGGATCTCTTTCTTTCATGTGCCATTCTCATAACTGTGGTATTTACTTTCCATGTTGGTCACTTTTCCTGCAGTCCTGCTTTTCAGGAGTGAACCTAATTGGTCCAATCTTGGGTCTCCTGAAATGACCCAGAACCACTGCAAAAGGCTCAGGAGAAAAGGTACAGTAAACAGGAAATCCAGTATTCACCCACGTCTCATAAGGGTCACCACGGACTCCTGAGCGAGGCTGGCTGTCAGGATTGTCTCCATTTAACAAGAAACCTACACCTCAAAGTCCTTGGGTTTATAGACAAACATTTGTAATCACTTCCACAGCTGATTACAGGGCAGGCAGGATACCTGCTTAGGATAAAGCCTGAGCTACACAGAGAAAGTTTATTTCAGATCTGGCTACCTCAGAAAAGTCCTGCCTCTTTTAAACCACAAGCAATCAGGCTTTAGGCTAAGCACATTCACTGGAAAAACAGCAGCAGTGTAGGATGGGAAGCAACATTCCCTTTATTCATACAACTACAACCTTGATGACCCCAGCTAGCCAAACGTCTCCCTCAAAATAAACAGCTCCACCACGCACATGACAGTAGTGCAGCTTCAGCAGCCCTCTCCATGGTTGTAAGCCTAGGGTGTTCCAGATAGTTACAGTGGTAGAGAGTCTGAGCATACCAGTAAAGATTATGTTTAATGACAAGAATGAGAATGTTGCTTCAGGTCATATGGCTGTTGTTCCCTGATTATCACACGTTTGAACAGCCTGAAAAACTGCTCCACATGGAAACCTAATGTTTGTACTAGCAACTGGGAAGGGCTGTTATCAGGTAGGACTGAGGCCAGCAGCTCAGGGTCTATGGTGCCTCATGCACGAAGAGTCTAATGGAAAACAATAGCAAAAACAAAAATTCGGATTGAAAAATAATCCTTCAGAAAAGAAAAAATAAAGCAAACAGTAGAATGACTGCCTTAGCTGTGCTTGGCCCAGAAGTGGGAGCTCCCCTGCCTTCCCTAGAAAGGAACTGAGCTGCTCCAGCTCGGTACTAACTCAGCATTCTGCCACCATGGACTGACTCTCATGCCCACACACACCCATGTGTGGGCCCACGTCCCCTACAGTGACTGGTTCAGAACCAGGCACGTGACCCAAATTGGCCCACTGATATGCAATCCTGGGGTTTTGCTGGAATCTTTGAGAGAGAGAGAAACTCTCTCTCTGCAGTTTTCCAGGCTAGTAGGATCTAAAGCTGCTGATGGCCATCTTTGTCACCACATACAGAGAGCCTTCCTGAGAATAAGGCTAAAACAGAACCAAATGAGACACTAAGCCTGATTTCTAACGACATGGTAAAGCCAGCTGGATCTAGTGATATCAGCTTTTTAAACCCTAGACTATTCCTGTTGTGTGACCTAATAACCCTCTCACTCTTTCGACTATTCCTGTTGTGTGACCTAATAACCCTCTTACTCTTTCCTTTCTTTCTTTTCCTTGTTTCCCTCGCTCCCTCCCTCCTTCCCTTCCTTGGTTTTAAGTTGTCTCTACCACTCTAAGCCTTCTTACAAAGTTTATTCAATTCTGCCCCCAAGCCTGAATGTATATCCCCATGTGATCACACATTTTGAAACACTGGTAAAATAATTCTAAGCCTGTAGAAAATCTAACGGCTTCTCCTTGAACATTTAAGAAGCACAGTCTATTTAACTAACACTTCACACAGATAAGCTTTGAGTCTGCGTGAACGTAGAAGTCAATAACATAGCTAGGCCGACATTTACATTTCTCGCACGCTTAAAAACACAATCAGTAAGTAATTGATAAAAGCTAGTTATCCAGCACTATGCTAAGGACTATCTCATTCCTTCCTCGGAACAAGTGAGCAAATAGGAATTATTACTATCTCCATTTTACAGAAGAAGAAATAGAGGTTTGGGAGGTTACGTTACTTGCCTAAGATCACAAACCTGCTGAGTAGCTGAGTTTGGATTCCAGCCAAGAGGTCTGATTCAAAAGCCTGCATTCTTTATCACTAGAAGATAGTGTCCTCAGCGTAACGGAGATAAATTTTCTTTTGGCAACTATACTTCTTACTAATGAGCATGTTCTCAAAAGCAATGCAAGGAACATGCCCCACATATTAGAAGTGTCTCAATCACCAGTGTTTACCCGGTAAACATAGAAATGTGCCAGGTTTCCGGGCATGATGGTGTTGGCGCTTAACTGAATGGAACAATATCCACCTTTAGATTTTAGAGATGCCTGAATGGAAGAGAGGATGCCAGATCCTATGATAGAGACTTAGCTTTGGTGGTGATTTTTTTTGACTTCATCACACAGTTACCCATTTTACAGATAAAGAAATTGAAGTTCAGAGAGATTAAGTAGTTAACTTGCTGAAGTTCAAAGAGCTATTAAGCATTTAGGTCAGAATTGAGCCAAGCTCTTTCTAAACCTAAAGGCTATTCTTTCCACAGCTCACAATGCACAGTGAACAAATATAGGGAACTTGTAGGTAGAGGCACATGGAAGGTGGTTATCTAAGGTTAAAATGGACAGTTCTGAGCTCTGAGCCTAAAATTATCCAAAACATTTATCCAAAAAAAGAGTCTGGCATGCTCTAGTCAATGGCATATGGAGCCTGAGAAAACAAAAACAAAAACGAGATACAGGAAAACCTTCTAAGAGAAAGCCTGTGCATGGGCTCACCCATAGGAGCCATCAGGAGGAAAGAAACACATAATCTAAGGGTTGCGTCTGGGTCTGTGAAATGCACATCAAAGAATGTCTCTAGACTCCATGGACAACGATGCTGGCTTACTGAGCAGCTGACTTCATCCCAATATGCGGTCATTACCTTGGCTCTCACAAAAGACATCTTGGTCTCTCCAAGTCTTGTCTGATCCTTCCCCCACTAATGCTTCCCTTTCCATCCTTGTCAGCAGCTTGAGGGAGGACACAGCCTTAGAGCCAAAACTGGGTGGTTTGGGCATTGCTGAAATCTGCAGCCACAGCAAAACCTGATAACTTGGTATTAACAGATCACTGTGTCTCTGGTACATAGATGTTTCTGGCACCCAGTGGCTGCCAGGCTTGGGGTTGCCCAGATGGCCCGAAGCCACATTAGGCTAGCTTCCCCTGATCTGAGCTTTGGACAGTATGGGTACCCCTAGAAGGTGATGTATCACACTCACCTCTGCTTTTTTCTGCTTCTCTTCCTGCTCTCTCTGCTCCTTCTCCATGCCCACCAGCTTGAGCTTCAGCTCAGACACTTCAGTCATCAGATCGAGCTTCTGAGTCTCAAGAGATGTACGACTTAGCAGCTCCTGCAGGCAAAAACAGATCTCAAAATCATAAACCTCCATGGCAATAAGAACAACTCTACCTCCATCCATAGGACATAAGGCAATCTCTACATTGTATGATGAAACCGCTACATCTGAGCCACAGTCCTATAGGGGACAGGCCTGGGCTGATACTGGGTCACTCAAAAAGCACATTTGTCCATAGAAACCATTATTCATTCTTTCCAGGTAGAGAAAAACGGATGGGTCTGCTCAACGAATGAAATTTCTCCATGTCTATTTTTAAGGCAAAGCAGCAGATCCTCTCCACCAAAACAAACAAAAGACCAGCTTAGGTTAACATTATATTTTTCAAAACCAAAGTTTCCACATCACCTCCTGGGCTCAGTCAGTATTCAGCCCAGTCTTCCACACATGTCATTGGAAGACCTTACTGCAACGAACCTAGAAGGGAGCTAGGACATTAAGTAGATATTCGATGAGTATTTATTGAATGGTTATAGTAGAATCTTATTTATGTGATATGTATCTTTCCTAGAATGTAAATAAGAAAATTGTTCCTTGCTTATTTTGAGGACTGGGGAGGTTATTAGTAGCCCTGCCAAGCCTAAAAGAGTAGCAGACAACAACCTGCCATTAATATATACACTTAATAAGCATAAATAAGACAAAACAAAGGTGATAGGTGAAACACCTGCTCAGCACTACTAGGAATTATGAAGGACCTCAAAAGCCAGGAGCACTTCCCAAAGTCCAGGGGTGACATTTCTCCATTGGCAAAAGGCAATGTGTGAGATCCCAAATCGTGGCATATGGAGACATTGGACACACAGGTCCTGGCAAGGAGACCACGATATGATGCTAGGAGGGTAACCAGCCAAATGAGCTGACAGAAAAGACACAGCATCCTGCCATGGTCTGAAATTTCCGTATCATCTTAGGCAACCCAACCCTAGTACAAGAATAGTCATCTCAACAATCTGACCCTACGGCCATGATTTCATGTTCTGAACTGTCCTCAATTCATAAAACCAAACCACATGAGTCAAAGATTTTAACTTGGAAAACATGACTCTCTAGGCAAAAGGCCATCAGTACCTCAGAAAGGTGGGCTACAAACTGTCCATCTGCTAACCTGAGGGAGAGTATCCAGAAGGCAAAGCATTCAACAAAATGAGCTTAGTACTGGGCTGAGGAGCCCAGCTCTTCCTGGGCCAGCCAGACTTGAAGCTGGCTTACAGGGCAAAGGCAGCAGCAGTGCCATGCCAGAACTGCGGGCTGCTTGGTCATGAGGAGTTAGCCAGCTAAGTATGTCCAGTGTTGGGACTGGGGGTGGGTGGACATAGATGTGCTGAGTGCCTCCTCTGTGCTAGACACTGTCGGGTACTTTACATACATCCTCTCAATAAACCCTCCCAGGGATTTGGCAGTCAACACTACTATCCCTATTTTACAGATGAAGAAACGGGCCCAGAGACTGGCCTGTCTTGGACAAGGGCACACGCCAATCAACAGCAGAGTTAGTTTTAAAACCAAAGTCTGTTTGGCTTCAAAACTCATTTCTGTTTAATGTATCACATTGTTTCCCAAACAGAGAAAGAAATCCAAGAATTTCAAGGGAAATAAAAAAATACATGCTGGGGCTTCCCTGGTGGCGCAGTGGTTGAGAGTCCGCCTGCCGATGCAGGGGACACGGGTTCGTGCCCCGGTCCGGGAAGATCCCACATGCCGCGGAGCGGCTGGGCCCGTGAGCCATGGCCGCTGAGCCTGCGCATCAGAAGCCTGTGCTCCACAACGGGAGAGGCCACAACGGTGAGAGGTCCACGTACCGCCAAAAAAAACAAAAACAAAAACGTGTTGAAAAAAAGCCAATCAACAAATATTCACTGAGCCCAGGAAAGAGCTGCTCAAACTGTTAAGAATTTGTTGAACACACACTATCTACTAGGGCCTGGTGCTAAGGCTATGCAGGCCATAAAAGACCCTAAAATGTTCTATCTCTGGGTGAGGAAGATGGGATTTTTGGGTCTTAAGTAACTTAAGATAAAATCCTTCCTATGCCGCCTGCCTGCTCGTTATCAACACCCTTCTCCCTCCTCCCCACCTTCCCCTTCGCCTCCACCACCTCATTCTGTGTCTTCCTCTCCATCCTTTCACTTAGCTGCTTTGTTCCAGAAATGATTTGAGGTAGTTTGCAAAATAGACAACTCAAGTTAAAAAATAGGGCTTCCCTGGTGGCGCAGTGGTTGAGAGTCCGCCTGCCGATGCAGGGGACACGGGTTCGTGCCCCGGTCCGGGAAGATCCCACGTGCCGCGGAGCGGCTGGGCCCGTGAGCCATGGCCGCTGAGCCTGCGCGTCCGGAGCCTGTGCTCCGCAACGGGAGAGGCCACAACAGTGAGGGGCCTGCGTACCACACACACACACACACACACACACACACACACAAACAAAAACAAAACCCATAAAAATTAAAGCGGGTAAGGAAAGAAGTTGAAGCCAGAGTGACTGTCGGCATAAAATTCATACCCTAAAGTTCTATTCACAGCTAGAGATGGAGTACAATGCGTATGTGAGCTTCCCAGCCACCAGTGCAAAGGGAAAAAGGGACGATTCTAGAACTCAAGGTCCATGGGATAATAACGATTGCTCTGCAGTGCTAAGAACTCAGAAAACCTTCTTCCATGAGACTTCCATCATTTGTTCAACTACCAGATGCCAAGGCCTAGGGATAGGAGAGTTAAAAGTACAGCGCCTGTTGAGCTCCTGAGTCTCTTAAAAAGGTATTCAATGCAGTTGTCTACTGACCAGCATTCAAGATACTGCCTTGGTGGGATGTAAAAAAGCCTCAGAAGGCATCTCTCTTGAAAGCTAAAAATCTACTCTGCTTTCATTATTTCCAGAATCCCTTTGGCTGTTTTAACCGCCAGGTTGTAATTGGTCATACCAATGTTCCAGTTAATGAGGATAATATTCTAATTGGTTGCATTAAAATTCCAATGGCCACTCCAATTGGTCACGCCAGGGTTCTGATTGGTCACACTAACATTCCAAGTGGACATTTCAATTAGACACACCAAAGTTTTAATGAGAAGCCTGGGGCTGCTTAATTTCACATAGTCCACTGATAACAAAACTTCTCCTTACTGTCTCCTAGATTCTATTAGCATGTGCTTCCGCCTTTCATTATCTTCACCCCTGGTCCTTGTCATCAATAAGTACTGTCCTACTCCCTGAACTCAAAAATCAGCCTTTGACAGCCTTTATCCCAGCCCAGCCCCACTTCCCCATCTCCAGGCCCCGCATGGCCTCCAGCCACTGTTACGTACTGTGACCTCTATCCTAGTTGTCTTAATAGGATTTAAATACCCTACATTCTAAACTGCTCTTTCTACTTCCAGCAGAAACCGAACCCTGACGTTTGCATGACATGACACGTCCTTCCCAGTCCTCTCAAGTAGAGACCGTTCTGCTCCAGCAACCCAACTTACAGAACACCTTTCTCCCAGTTAAACACAACTTCTTCCAGATCTCTGCCCTCCTCCTCCTCTAAGGCAGCACCATTCAGTTGTCACGTTTTCCCCAAATATCCAGACCCCAAGACAGTCTCCCATTTCCATTGATTATCCTTGTTAATCTTTCACTCAGTGTACCCTGGTTTCACATTTCTTGACCTTGACACCGACAGGCTTTGCTTCCACCTCACTTCAGCTTCTCAGTAGTATGGCCACAGCCTGACCCTCGTCTTGATCCAGAACATGTGTCCTTCACTTCTAAAATCTTCAACTCTGAAATTCTCTCCTCTGGCCACAATCCTCTGACTTTTCAACTGGCCCATTTAGTCACTCAAATCATCTTCAATTTCTTCTTCTGTGGCTACTAGTTACTTAATAACTCCCTATTTTCCTAGTTTATCAACTTCCTTTAAGCAGTATTTGCCTCCTTACCCACCCTGTACCTTAAGGCTTATCATTTAGTCACTCAAATCATTTAGTCACTCAAATCATCTTCAATTTCTTCTTCTGTGGCTACTAGTTACTTAATAACTCCCTATTTTCCTAGTTTATCAACTTCCTTTAAGCAGTATTTGCCTCCTTACCCACCCTGTACCTTAAGGCTTATCATTTCAGTTGTATCATTTCTGCATCAGAAGATTCTTCCTGACTCATCCTTGCCCCTAGATCTGAAGTGTACTTGCTTCACCAGCACCCACTCCATGCCAAACCTCAAAGACTTCTGTCTATGGTTCCACTCCCCATGGCCTGAGAATTGCTGGTAAAAGTCACTTAATGATGCCAATTGGTTTCCACACAAATTTACGCTATCTAATTACAGCTGATCTTCCAACACTGCCTGGCAAAACTTGTATTCATCTCTGGCTGGTTCCTTTCAGAGATTGTTCCAGATCTTTTCCATATTCTCCTCGAGCCCTAAACCCCACCCTATCCCCTTCTTCTCCTTAAATAACCTCTCCTCATATTTACTGAAAAGATTTTTAAAGATCATCTGATCAGTCACTGAACTTACATCCTTCCTATTTCAAAGTTTCCCAGAATGGTCTCTCATTCCTCTCTCCTGAATCCGTGTCTTAGAGAAGGCAAGCCCGCACCTCCTTTCCGAGGTTAGTCTGACATAACTGCACACAGCCGACTTCTCTGTCAGGTTCTTCTATCTTTAAAAACTGTTCCCAGCCCAATAAGTTTCCAGGTTGCACATTAAAAAGCATTATGTTAAAGGACACAAAGATTCCAGAGTTTGCTGCTGAGTTGCTCCACCTGACCCACCTTCCTGGTGCTGACCAGTCTTCCAGGCCATCCTCACGCAGCCTGAATGAAGATTCAGGTAACTCCCTGGTTAACCAGTAGCTTTCGGCTTTGTTCTCCGAGTCCTGGTCCTGTTTCTCCCTCTAGCCGGTAGTGCAGAACGACTGCCTGCTCACAGGGACCTGGGCCCTCCTTCCCCTCTGTCCTGCTTTTGAGGAAGTTCTCACCAAGTCTACACTACTCTTGGGTAGGCCCATTAA